GTTAGCTTTTCAAACTCCCATCCAATGTGTTTTCCTTTTTCTTTTACCAAATATTCAATACATAGCTTCTCATTACTCAAAAGTAAATCAAGATTTTCTTTTCAAGTTAATCATGCAAATTGTGTTAATCTTTGGTTTGGTGACCTAGTTTACAACTTAAATGACTTCTTAGATTAGAATTTTTATTTTATTTTGAAAAGAGAAGTTGTTATCTAAATTAGTTTGCATGTCTGCTTGATATTAAATTTTGCTTTTAAGTTTTTTGTTAATTCTCATATTGCATGCATGTTTCCATTTTGTTTTCATTTATTTAATTCTATGGACTAGAATCCTTGAAGAAGGGAAGAATTTATATAGAATAATGTAAGGTTATTTGTATAAATATAGATCATATTTTTTTATCAAGAAGAATTAACAGTAGAATGAGATATTGTTAGAAATTATAAGAATAAAGTTAAGGCTAAAACACATTAAAAATTTCAAACAAATAAAACTAAAAATCCACTTACAAGAGCCCAAGCATGAGCATATGACAGTGTCTAATTAAGAGCCCAATCAAGGCTCATCACAAGAGTCATATCAACAAGAAATATTTGAATTTGTATTTTATTGCTTATATTTCAATTTTAATTTCTAGAATTTTTAAACTTTCAAAGTTGAAACCTTTTATGGCATCTCATAAAAAAGTGGTTTGCACATTTATGTATTAAAAGCCACCTACAACCCTTCAAAATTTTCTATTTCTTTTATTGAGTATTTATCATTGCAATCCATATAAATAGGGCTAATATGTAATGCCCTTGATTAGTTGTTGAATGAAATATTTGAGTGAGAATTTTTTCTCTTATTGGTCGGTGCTTAGTGGCTTCACGTGTTGCCTTTTCATTAGTGAGATTGGGTATTTATCTTTATTTCTTAAAATTATTCGTTAATCCTCCATAAAACCTGTAAATTCTTGACCACTCTTCATTCACATCTTAACTTCTTATAATATCAACAAACCAGCAATCAAATCCTCACAACCATTCCAAACACCTTTTCATAACTCTTGGCCAAGCAAGATCTTATTGAGGCCTAGTCTTGTTCCTTATCCTTCAACGTCATTTTAAAGTCATCCAAAATCTCTCATCTACTCTAGACCATAAGTACACATCCTAATATAACCACCAATAAACATTTCTATCCATTTACCTAATCTTAAGACACTTTTCTAAAGAGATATTTTAAAACAGCACAAACTAGCCTAATCTAGACTAGTCTTGGTATTTTAGCCACCGTTTTCTCTTAAATCTATTAGCAAACCATCAAAATCTCTACATCATATATTTAGATCTAAAACCAAACATCAATAGCAAATTTTAGTACTTAATCTCATCAAAAGGCTACCCACCTACATCAACCGAGGAGTTGAGGGGGGCAAGGGTTCGCATTACACATTGGAGATATAGGCCCCCACACCAAGTACCAATGAAAGCTTGTAAAATTCACTCAATAAATAATATATCTTTAATGCATTTATTTGATAATTATACTTCTTACATGTTAACAGACTCAAGAGCCAGAACACATTGAAGTTGTGGGTCTACCTCAGTGTGTCCATGAAAGTAAAATTATTTTTAATTTCTATATTATAATTATAATTATATTGTATGAAGTTCAATATTCATTGGTTTTAATTATATAGGAGGACTACGAGCACATTAGGGATACCCAGAGCCTGAGCATGAGCTAGAGCATGGGCTCGATAGCTGTTGACAGTAGTAGTAGTAGCAGTCAGTCTTTTCAGAGTACCCTGATTATTAGAACTGGAGGCAGCTGCAGGAAAGAAAAATAGTAAAGCTCGTGACATTGGTGTGCAGGGTTTTATATACGAGGTTGAGCCCTCTCAGTCAGCTAAGGTTCATATGTTGTCATGGGGGCATGAGGAAATTGCCAGGCATCAGAGGTCATCACCAGAGCATGAGGAACTTGCCATCCATGTCACCACATTAATTGAGGAGCTCAGTGTCATGGATTAGTGATATGAGAGACTCAAGGACACTGTTATGCAACTGGAGCAAGTTGTAGATCATCATGGCAAGCAGCCTCTTAGTGTTGGCTGCATGATGAGGACGAGGAAGAGGAGGAGGATAATTACCAACTATGACGATGCCCCGTAGAGGTTTTCTATTTTCATTCTTATTTGATATCTAGACATAACATACCCTAAATATGCTATTCGTTTACATTTCAGAAACTTTATTAGGATGGATTATTTAGATTTTATATATTATGTATGATGATTCCATTTTTTTTTCAATGTGAGTATATATTTCTTAAATTTGTTGTGAGCTATGATTATGTTCTGATAATTAAATGTGTAATGCAGGTGTAAAAAATTTGATTGGTCTCATTTTTTTTTTAAATATTGTTCAGGTTTGTGGTTGTTAGGTATTTAATTTTTCTGATGCAAAATAACGTTTGACAACATTCTACTGTTCAATTCCGCCTTAAGAATTTCTACAATTGAAACCTTCGACGCAAATCAGGCATAAATTTGCATCTAAACACTCAGATGCAATACCCATCGTTAAATATTACACATGATTGCGCCTGTCCTAAAACCCACCACAAAACTTAGCGTTGGAATTTTTTTAACACTAATAGCACTGTGACCCGCATTTTTGTGTTGGCATTATCGTTGTTAAAAATATGTTGATAACAGGAATCTGTATCATATTTTGACCCTATTACCGACAAATTTTATCGACGCTAATATGTTCTTGTAGTCTTACTAATCTTTCTTCAATTTCGCTGAATTTTTGGCATAACAAAAACTTTGTTCTTCACTTGCGAGTAAATCTTCCATTCATCTTGCATTCCATTCCGTTAGTTTAGCATAAGATTGAATATTATTTTTCTTATTGATGATTATATACTAGTTATTTTGAGCTCTTTTGAAGCCACGTCCCAAACTTTTTCTCATGTAATGCATTTGATGGCTATCATTAATCCTTATGAAACTATCAACAATGGGGAGTCTCACCACTACATTTAGAAATATAAGTCTCATCAATTATACAAGTGAAGGCTATGCTGTTAAACTTGTTGGTTGTTTATAGATAACAGATTTTGAAGATCCACCCTATGAAATTATCACATATATAATGGTTTTTTGACCATGCTACATGATTTCTTGAAGCACCCTTACTAACCACTCTTCAATCTGGCTTATTTTTTGCTAACAAAAATTTTGTCCTTCGTTGCGACTTTAGGGTCCGTTTGGGACAGCTGCAGCTTATTGAATAATCTGCTGATTAGCCAAGTGCGGTGGCTATTACAAATTTTTATTTTTTTGGAAAAGCCAGACCGCTGTCAATAAGCTGTCATCGCATCTAGATAGGTGTGGTGTGAAAATGTTGTTTTCTGCGTTTTGAAAACGCATAAGCTGTCAAAACGCGGTTTACCCAAACAGGTCAGGTGCATTTTCAAAACGCCACCGCACCAAATAAGCTGCCCCAAACGGGCCCTAAATTTCACATTCATCGCCATTCAATTGTTCTTTTAATTTCTAGTCTTAAGCATCATTTTTTGCTTACTGTAACTTAAAGGATATTATATTTTAATTTATCTATGCGTGATGCCAAAAGCTTATTAATAAGAATGGATGCAAGAGAGAGAGAGAGGGAGGGAGAGGGAGGGAGAGGGAGTCTCGAGGATTTCACTAAATAGGCAGAAAAAAATTATTGAAATTGATTTGATGTGTTAGACTCCTTTTCTGACATCTTATGTATAGATTTGTACCACGGTGCAATTAGGACTGTCAAAATGACTCGTTGTTCGCGAACAACTCGTGTTCGCCTACTTAAGAAGGTCGTGTTCAACACGTTAACTTAGTGAACAAGTCGAACACGAGCTTCTTAATGTGTCGAACACGAGCTGTTTACGAACAACGAGTCATTTTAACAGCACAAACAAGTATTTGTTTGTTCGTGTTTGACTCTTTTTGGCTCGAAATACTTCTAATCAATTATATATATATATATATATATATAGTGATGAGTAGTATTTTAAAAAGAATTAATTAAATAAAAGGCTACAAAGATTTATAACCAATTAAGAATATTGATTTACCCCAATTCTTAACATCTGATGTCTACGTGATTAGCGTTGTCAAAATGACTCTTTGTTTGTTAACGGCTCGTGTTTGGCTCGCTAAGCAAACGAGCCGAACACAAACACACTTTTTGAGCTCGAAATATAAACGAGCCAAGCACGAGCTGTGCCTGGGCTCGCTCGTGTTCGGTTTGTTTACAGCCCTAGCCCCTAGGTGCAATTAATTCCGCTTAAAAAGTTTATATTTATTTAATACAAGTAGAACTACAAAAACAAGACCTAGCGCTTGCTATAAAATGAAGAAATCTCACTAGTTTATAGCTATTAATGGATCTCAATATGACAATAAAACAGTTCGAGCCACTAATATTCATTGATTTTGAATTGATCCTTGTTATTTATCAACTTTTAAAAACCTAACATACTGCTACCATTGAGATTTTAATCACCTCAGATGACGTTTGATGTTCAGTACTTATATGAAGTTACAAAGCTTTAATTAAACAAGTTTTATGAAAAAGGTAAATGGTTAGAAAGCTAATATTAGAAAACAGTATCCTTTCGCGAACTATCAAATTTTTGAGAAAATATTACATTCGGACTCCGGATGCAGTCTAATGATGGGGCGTCACGTGCAAATGAGTCTCACCACAATATATTGGCATTGGGTAGTGTTAAAATCGATGAGGCCCACATGACATGTAACACCCCACCAAATGCATTTAATACTTTTTTCCAAATTTTACCAACAAGAATACATGGTGTGCATCCACGGCATAAGCCGTATCCTGTACTCCCTTCTCTGCCATCCCGTATCCTCTACTTCACATCTGAACCCCTATAAATACTCACTCCATATTAAAAAAAAAGAAAAAAGAAAAAAGAAAAAAGAAACTCACTAATTTATGTCTTCCTACTCCCCACAAAACGGCAATCAAGGCCAGCAATGGCCATTCGCATACAAAGGAAACTCCGGCAGCCACATGGAGCTCATCGCCACAATAACCGTCGTCTTAGTCTTCATACTCATCACCTTCCACCTCTATATCAGATACCGCCGGCAAAGTCATGTCTTCATTACAATGGAAAGCACTACTAGTCGGCCTACCCCTCTTGCCGCTGCCGATGCCGGAGGCCTCGATGCTGCTGCTATTGCGGCCTTGCCCACGTTTATTTACCATGTTAGCTCTGCAACAAATGAAGGCACGGAGGAATGTGCTGTTTGCTTGAGTGTGGTGCAGGAAGGGGAGAAGATGAGGTTTTTGCCTCATTGCAAGCATGTGTTTCATGCCGAGTGTATTGATATGTGGTTACATTCTCATGCCACTTGTCCCGTTTGTCGGACGAGAGCTAGGCCGGCGAGTATGTCTGAGTTGGGAGGGTTGTTGCCTGCGCCGCTGATGCCGCAGAGATTTGGTCATGGTGGCGGTGGTAGGGCTGCAGAGGAGGGCGGTTCTGAGCCGGCAGAGGTTTCGAGAATGGAAAATGGGCCGAGGAGATGGGCGAGCGCGAATGGTAATTGTTTTGTGGACTTGGAGAGGCAATTGATTTAGAGATCGTTTGGTTATGTGTATTTAAAATAGGCATGTTTTAGAAATGTAATGAATATTTGTTCTCTTAGAGACATGTTTTTGTAAAGGTAAAAATAATTTATTATCATAAAATTGGAAAAAGATCGGATATGTATGAGAAATGTATTTACATGAATCTCGATGAAATTCAACAAATTAGAAGACAAAAGTATGGTCAATGATAGTTCGTCAAAAGGAGTGAGGACCATGTTAGCAGAAAACTAAAGGATCTCGTTGACCAGCCCCGATTTCCTTGGAGTAGGAGTCAGATCGACTGAGCAAAGGTCATTCGAGTTGTATACACTAAAGTTGTCGGCATGGATCTCAAAGCAATTGAACGACACAGACGACAATTAGATGATCGGGGCGTCCTATCGTCCTACAACCCACCAAAAAATCAAGAATCGACCGAACGGTTGACCACGCCTACTGTCTCAACCAACCAGAGCGCAGATGGTAGGTTGTTAACTATCTGATTTTGAGCCGAGCTAGAGTCGGCTCAAAATAAGCTCGAAAAAAATTCGATCCAAAATTTTTGCTCATAACTCGGCTCCTTTATTTAGATCCGATCTCGATCTGAGCCAAAAATTGAATTAATTTTTAAGTGATTAAAAATATTTGAGTTAAAGTCACGACCCTAGCAGGCGAAAACCCTTGATCGTGGTCAATCGGTCAGCCCACTTTTGTCGCAGCTAAGGAGATCGGCACTCAATCAGGTGTCTTGGCCGACCAACCAATGGTGCAGTCTCCACTTAGTCGATTGCCTCAATCGACCGAATATAAGCAAGTCGACCAACCACTTACCCTCATGTTATAAATTGAATTGTAATACTGATATGGTAGGAAATCCAAATCATTAATTCAAACATCGATTGTATTAAGAGTTATTTCCATAAGTGCTTACTCCTTTCTATAATTGTACAAAACACTCATCTATAAATTGGAGGCAAAAAGAAAAATAAAGGACGATTATCGGGTCTTCTTACAAGGACTTCTGAACTTATTCTACTCTCTCCTTCCTTCCTCCTTTGACCAGTTCTAACTTTCGGTGTATGTTCGCAAGGGTCAATTTAGGATTCGACATTCTCAAATATGGTGCAGTGAGTGTGGATCAAGCCACATACAAGAAGTAGAAAATACTATGAAAGAGAAACATCCTAAAGAGAGATAGCATGCATGGAACGTAGTAAAGATGCTACCCAACCAGGCGTCCATTCAGGTCCAGGGCCTACAAAACCAAATACTCCTCATGATAGAGCAATTCGAGGTTCTCCAAACAACAATCACCAAAAGCAAGGACCAGATGCCTCATCTAGAAGTGGATCCTCATAGGATTCACCCCCCAAAGAGCCCCGCCATGGAACCCATCTATTCCAAACAACCAGGTCAACAACCAACGAACAGAGGGACAAGGCGACTCCGGGAAAACTAACATAGCCGCGCCAGCACAGGTGAACAGGCCACAGGAAGAGCGAATATGAGTGATTGTCCAGTTGCACGCTGGAGGGGCTTTTATTAAAGAAATTAAAGAGGTGGTACCCCCACCCATGCTAAGGATCCCTTGCCTGGATTCTTACAAAGGGAGGACCGACCCGATCGACCATGTAGCGTCGTTCGATCATCGGTTGGTCTGCTTTAGATCAATGAACCCATAATGTATCACCTTTTCCTAACCACCCTGAATGAGTACGCCCTTTAGTGATTCGATGGTCTTCCGATTGAAACTGTTCCAAGGTATAATGGATTTAAAAGACTATTTGTTTTGCACTTCTGAAACGTACAGAAGCCAAGGAAAGACTCAGACACCCTGCTCGACCTCAAGCAAGGAGAAAACAAGAGTCTACAGGCATACATCACAAAGTTCCAGAATGAGATGTTTGAAGTTAAAGACTTGAAGCATGATATAGCTGGAACAACTCTAAAACGAGGAGTCCTAAGTAAACGATTCATTTTGATCTAACGTTATTTAAATCTACTACTTTTGCAAAGGTGCTGGAGATGGAGAACGAGCACATACTCACCGAAGAAGACCTCTAGGACTCCCCAAAGGGTAAGTTAGAGTTGCCCAACCATTCCTCAAAGAAGCAGATAGAATTTAGCCAACCATGGAAGGTGAAGGACAATTAATCCTCCATCGATCACCACAACAAGAAAAATCATGGAGAAATGGCTAAAAGCAACATGACCAAAAGTGGCACTCTGGTCAACGATCGACCCAATATTACGAGCAATCACATGTTTTGAAAAATTCACAGTTTGACACCCCTCAGTGTGTCAATGGCCGAAATAGTCCAAACCATCCAAAATAAAGACTACTTCAAACTGGCCCTACCACTAAAGGTGGCCCCAACCTTATGAGATCTAAAGATAAATTGCTAGTACCATCATACCAAGGTCATAAAATGGAGGAATGTTTTCACCTCATAAATCTTATTGAGAAGCTCATCCACGTCAGGAAGCTCAAGTAATTTATCGCAGTCATCGTGCATACGTAGCGACAAAGCAAAGCTCTAGCAAAAGAGCCCTCAAATAGGCCTATCATGACAAATGAGGTCCACATAACAAGAATAATCCCGGATATATTCGGGGGAGGGCCCTAACCCTCTTGCTTGAAAAGATAGCTTTTGAGAGAGGCATGCACTATTGTTTCGTATACACATAACAATTTACCATATATCTTTACAGATGCAGATCTCTCACCGAAGTGAAACCCCTTTAATGAGGTGATCGTCATCACAACAATAATCAACAACTACAAGTGTGTAGTATTCTTATTGATATTGGGAGTTCAATGAATATCCTATTGAAAACGACGTTTGATAAGATAAGCCTAAAGACCAATCGGTTAATAGCACCAACCGGTCTGTTGTTTGGATTCTCCATGGAAAGGAAGGTGGCGTTGGGCCTCATTGCCCTAGCCATCACTTGGAGAAACCAGGGAAATAATACAAAAACACAGAGGATTTTCTCATGGTGGAATCTCCGCCGACCCACATCACTATTTTCGGACAACCACTTCTAAACAACTACCGGGTGGTGATTTCTACTTACCATGTGGTCATTAAGTTTCCGGGCGACGAGGGGTTGATTACGGTCAAGAACTTGGAGCAATCTAGAAGCTATTATTTGCGAACGATTTTGAACGTTGACCATGAATCGCTCGAAATCTAAAACCAGAGGGAGGGGGTCTCGAGACTAATGAGGCTATCCTCTAAGTGCCTGTATCTGATGAAAATCCCGGTAAGATCTTACTAATCAATGAACATTTTGATGAGGAGTTCAGGAACTAGCAGATACAGACAATCCGGGAGCATCGAGAGGTGTTTTCTTGGAGCACAAAAAAAAATGTCAGGTGTTTCAATGGTTGAAACGTGCCACCGACTGAACGTCAGCCCCTACTTTCGTCCAATTGAATAGAATATTCGATTGATAGCTAGAACTTTGGCTAAACAAATAGCAACGAAAGTGTAGAAGCTGCTAGATGCTAGCTACATCCATGAAGCTCAGTATCCAATTTGGCTCTCAAACGTCATGTTGGTCAAGAAAGCCAACAACAATTGGCGGATGTGCGCTGACTTCACAAACCTTAACATCCTTGCCCGAAAGACACCTACCCTTACCAAAGAATGACGCCTTGGTGGACGCAATAGTCAGATACTCTCGGTAATTAGTTTCCTCGACACCTACTTCGTTATCACCAGATAAAGATGCATCCTTCCAACGCAAAAAAAGGGACATTTATTAGTGCACTAGGCATATTTTATTTTAAATTAATGTCCTTCGGGCTTAAGAACACTAGGGCAACCTATGAGCGCCTCATGAATGTAATTATTTCTAATCAAAATGGAAAGATCATTGAGGTTTATGTCAACAATGTTCGAATTAAAAGTAAGTCAGCAAAACAATATATTAAAAATCTAAGAGAGCCCTTTGGAATACTAAAAAAATTCAGTATATCCAAATGCACCTTTGGGGAGTCGACTGGAAAGTTTCTCGGCTTCCTATCAACGACCGAAGGATTGAAAGCCAATCTGAAGAAAGTACATGCGATTTTAGAAATGCTGCCCCAACAGAGTAATAAGGAAATTTAGAGACTGACCAGTCGGATTGTCGGCCTCAGTTATTTCATCTCAAAGTCAGGTGACAAGTGTACGACATTCTTTAAGGCACTAAGGAAAAATTAGCGCTTTGAATGGACAACTGAATGTTAGGAGGTGTTCATGGATTTGAAAGATTTTTTAGCATCGAAAGATTCCTTAACATCCCCACCACTACTCCAGAGCCCAAAATTGGTGGAAGAACTATTGTTATACCTCAGATTTGAACAAGAGGCTGAAAGCTCAGCTCTGGTTCGAGAGGAAGCGGTAAAATAATACCCAGTATACTACATGATTTGAGTAATTCATGGCGTTGAAACCCGATACCCAATTATGGAAAAACTATCTTCGCTTTGATTATTTTCGCTCTTAGGTTTCGACCGTATTTCCAGATGCATCTAATCTGGGTCATCATAGACCATCCAATGAAATCTATGCTCACATAGCTGAGCCCTCAATCGACTGTTAAAGTGGGTGGTAGAGCTCAGTGAATTTAACATCATCTACGTTCCTCGGACAACAGTCAAAGCCTAGCAATCACAGACTTTGTGGCTGACTTTTCCTCGATGGAGAAGCGAGATGAAGGAATTGCCACTGAAGATAGGACCTGGACGCTATACATTAATGGGGCCTCAAAGCAGGAAACAACAAGGCTGGGCATGGCTTTGAGCAACCTGGTTGAAGAACATCTCTATCAATCAATCTCGGTAGAGTTTGACGTCACCAACAACCAGGCTAAGTACGAAGTGTCCATCGTCGGACTCTGCCCAGCTTATGAGATAGGTGCTCAAGATATCCTAGTGAGGTCAAACTCCTTGCAAATCGTGAATCAATTTATTGAGAAATTTGAACATATAAATGAGCTAATGACCAGATCCCTCACAAAGAAAAAGAAGGAAATCAAAAGATTCAAGAGCTTACACATCGAGCAAGTCGACCGGGAGAACAATCAAGTCGACCGGGAGAACAATCAAGTCTCAAGCATCCTCTTCAAATGCATTTGTCTAAAACGAATATCTAAAAAACCTACCAAGCCAACGATCGATGAACTAGAGACCATGGAGGTAGCGATCGACAAGACCAAGAGTTAGATGGATCCATATGTCTGGTTTCTGGAGACTGGGGAGATGGATGAAAACATCAAGGATCCTCGGAGCTTTAAAATTAAAGTCTCCATATACCTGTTAATCGACAGAAGGTTCTTCAAGAGGTCGGTTATTTTGGTAAACCTAAGATGCTCGAGAGATGATGAGGTCCAGGATGTGCTCTGAGAGGTACATTCTAGAGAATGTGGCAGCCACTTCGAGGGAAAAAATCTCACCTACCGCAATGGCAAGGGCACTTCTAACCATCGCTCTTGAAAGATGCAGTGAAATTTTTAAAGTGTGAATAGTGTCAAAAAAATGCCCCTTCACATCATCATCCAGCTCGGAAGCTACAACTTTTAGTCAGTCCTTGGTCATTCGGCATGTGGCGACTAGACATTCTAGGGCATTTTCCTCCATCGAAAGGCTAGAGGAAGTTCGTCTTGGTAGACGCTAACTATTTTTCAAAATGGATCGAAGAAAAACCACACGCTCGAACCAACACAGAGGCAGTCTGAAATTTCATATGTTTCGATTTGATTTGCGAGTATGAGCTGCCACTCATCATGGTAATGAACAAATTTTACTAGTGCGGAGCCACAAATAGCTTGAAAAGCGCTCCGCTCATTTGCATCCCTATGGAGAATTATTTTTTCACCGCTTCAAGGATTTAGTTTGTGCATGTCTTCCTTGTTTATTGGTGTCTCACCATGGCTTTCAAGATTTACGTGAGAACATACCATACTAAGACCTTCTATAATGATGCCCTTGTAAAAATTTCTAAAACTAACTACCAATGAAAAAATGTAAGAAAAATTATAATCTTATAAGTGCCATCCACAACAACAACACAAAAAACCCTAAAGAGAGCACATAAAAATTGAGCCACAGTATAAAGTGAAGGCTTCAAGATTGAACAAAAGTTTCACTTACAATATTTGATTTGCATCCCCTCTCAAAATCATCCCCATCAAAATATACATTAATCCTCTCCCAAAAATGAATGTCTCAGCCCAAATACAAAATGCCTAATAAAACTCGGGTTATGTCATCGGAAGACACAAAGTGCGATGAAGAAAGTGGCGAGAACAAACACAAAGAGTGTGCGGCACCGACTGACGCCGGAACTTATGTCGGCGCTCATTGGACCGAATCCAGCCGATGACCCGCTAAAACTTCCATTGCTTGCATATGAGCTGAAACACAAACAAGCAGCTTCACAGATATTAAATTTCTGTTTATCAGCTTAAAAATTAGGTTTTTGTTTTAATGCAATTGAGTAATAAAGATGAATAAATACTAAAATTTAGATATTAGACATATGTAAATCTCTTAAAATAAAATGAGTATTTATTATAATACTGTTTGATTGGGCGAAATTGTGATGTACTATAATTCTTTTGCAGACTTAATATATTACCACATACATTATAGTTCTTCACTAGATTAAATTTCATTATATAGAATAAAGGATACATTAAATTTACAAATACAACAATCATTGATGAATTTTCATGAATTAGAAAATAAATGACATAGCATTGAATTAGCAAATCTTACAATCAACTCCAAGTAGGGGTGTAAACCATTCGATTTCAAGCTGAGTTGGGGTGAGATAAAAATTAGCTCGAAAATAATTCGATTCAAAATTCTAGCTCGGAGTTTGGCTCATTTATTTCAATTCAGAGCCGAAATTCGAATCAATGTTCAAGTAATTAAAAATTTGTGAGCTAAAATCAATAAATTCACAGCTGTAACATCACTAGAGTTATTAATCATTCGATTTCAAGCCAAGCTGGGATTAGCTTGAAATCGGCTTGAAAAAATTTCGATGCAAAATTTTGGCTAAGCTTGACTTGTTTATTTCAATTCAATCTAAATCCGAGCCAAAATTCGAATCAATCTTCGAGCTAAATTAGCACACTAACTCTATTGTCCAAATTATAATTTCCAAAAATTAATTGAAATAAAGAAGAGTTTGCTGACCTGGCAGGGAATTTGCAGTCTCCAAGACCTGGCCCCACAAAAATTTTAAAATGAAACAAAAAAAGCAAATTATAATAATAAAATAAAAAAGTTACTAAACTACCCTAACAAATATTGGAAAAATTCAAAAAGAAAAAAAAAATTGAAAATCACTCACTAGGGTTCAGTCCGGTGATAGCAGCGACACCGGAGAAATCACAAGCAGACGGCGAAGATCCATGCCGGCGAAAATAATCATTGAAGGCATATGAAGCATGGGACTGCAAATCGTCCGGTTCGAAGCAGATTCCACCGTCCTGAATCGGCCGGCAATCCGACAAACCCGGCCCGCAGGCCCAATCCAGCGCCGATTGCAGCGCGGCGTCCTCCGCGTTGTTCTTCGCCACGCACCACAGATCTCCAACGGCAGCCACGCCGTCGTGGTTCGAGATCCGGCGATCGACGGCCGCTGCGAAAGCGAGAGAGAGGAGGAGGAGGAGGACGGATTGTTGCCGGAGATGGAGACGAAGCTTGGTCATGGCTGCTTTTGTGCTTGAAAATGGGGATTTGGTGTTTGGGAAGGAAAGATTTTGGTGATTAAAAGGAGGGGCGTTTTCTTCAGTTATTTAGTAAGAGGGCTTTTAAGAGAGTGAGAAATATTTGTGTATGTCTAACATACTCAAAGCTACATATATCGATAGGTTACAAGGAGGTTATGTGAATATTATATCCTTATTATATCTCTATAACGTCTCTGTAACCCATCTGTAACTTACAAATATATGAAAACAGATGCGCGAAACTTACTAATTACAGTTATGTTACAGGTATGTTACACGGAGGTTACAGGGGGTATAACGCGGATATAATCCCCCAATACCCTCTCTATAACCTACCGACGTACGCAACTCGACGTACGTTAGACGTACGCAAATATTTCTCGAGATGGAAATGATTTATTTATTTATTTCCTTAACGGGTTTAAAATTCTAAGGAAAATATTGATTCATTAAAATGTTTTAGTTCTAATAATATGATTTTGGTTTTGCGGATCTGCGCAAGGTTTCTATAAATTTTATGATAAAAGCTGATAAGTTTGTCGGTTTATTTTCTTTCAATATTTAAGTTATGGAACTCTAAAGTAGCCGTTGTGAAGCTCACAGGATACTTGAGCTATTTATTTCTTTGCTGCATTTTTTTATATATAATTTTTTTTGGAAGATTTTACATACAAATCATATAATTTCTTTGTATTTACATTTTGAGCTTGATGTCACAGACAAATAATCCCACACCGGCTAGGTGTAGGGCCGAAAAGTAGTATTTAAGTCCTGGACTGCCCACCACCCTAAGGGCTCTTTTGGGAGGTGACAAGTGGTATCAGAGCAGATTACTGCCTGTCAGGTGTGTAGACTCTCCATGGTCCAGTGGGACCTTCGGTGGAGCCGATCCGGGAAGAGGGATTGGGTGGAGGAGAATGTCACGAACCAATAGTCCCACATCGGCTAGGTATAGAGCCGAAAAAACAGTATTTAAGTCCTGGGCTAGCCACCACCCGTAATGGCTCTTTTGAGAGGCGAGCTTATGCCTAAGAGTTCGAGTCTTATTTATTATTAAAATGAGGAAAAAATTAATTTGATATATTTTTATAATAAAGTGACAAATATAATGAGTAATTATGAGAGAAATAATAAGAAATTATTTAATTTAAAATATATAATTTTATTTTTTAAAATATATTTAATATTTTCGAGAAAATTTTTTTAAATTTAATCTATTTTGAATATATTTATATTAATTTATTTTTAAAAGACCCGGCTCATGAGCTAACCAGTTGATTCGGGCAAGCTTGAGCTAGGCTTGTTAGCTCAATTCATGAGTTAGTTTGGCTCATGTGTGATCACTTACACTCCTAATTTGCATATTTAACACCTAAATTTTAATTTTTACATACATGTCATATTACGAGTTACTTATGCATGTAAAGGTGTATTTCATATTTTAAAAATTAATATGAAATTATTTTTAATGTGATATGAAAAATTTTATTAGTATAAATGTAAAAAATAAAATTAGGCGTTACACGTGTAAATATATAAGAATTAAGTGGTATGTATGTAAAGGCCCCTTCTGTGTCTTGTTAGAATTCTGGAGCAGGGTGATTTCAGCAGTTTAATTAATTCTTAGAGTTTAGTTATATCGATATGTCAATATTTTTTATAGTAAAGAATAGAGTGTTAGTTGTGTAAATATGAAATTTAAGCGAGAGATGTGTAAATGCATCACAAATTGTGTGGTATTTAGGGGTGTAAGCGAGCGGAGCTTGAGCGAGTTTAGGCTGGGCTCGCGTTCGGCTCGTTCGAAATAGCTCGTGTTCGAAATCGGCTCTTGAACAGTATGTTTGTGTTCGACTCGATGTAAATATTCGTGTTCGTGTTCGACTCAAAATTGGCTCGTTAAAATTAAATTGAAAAAAATAGATGTAAAGTGTTGAATTCGAACCTAGACCAAATATATGCAAAAAAAGACACTAACTACATTACTACACAAATGTTACAATTTAAACTTAAATATAAATATATATAATATATTATTATATAAATAGTATATATAAGATATTATTACATAATTATTTTTTTGATTTCGAGTTAAAATGAGCCAAACACGAGCGCATAAATAGTTATTCGTCTTCGGCTCGTTTATAATTCGAGCTTTAAAAACTGATTAGTGTTCGGCTCGTTTACTTAACGAATGAGTCGAATATGAGCAACTTAACGAACCGACCATGAGCTATTCGCGGACAATGAGTTATTTTGTCGGCGCTAGTGGTATTTCAATGATTTGTTATATTTACATTTCGCAAATATTAATTACTTTTCGTTGGGATGGAACAAAAGTAAAATTACCGATGTGACCGTTGGAAGCTCGACAGGCTTGACTGCAAGCGTTAAGAGGCAGTAGCCAGTAGGGCGTGGGGGCATGCTAGGAAGAAGTCATTCAGGATCGTTTGATATACTTTGAGATTAGTGTTTCTACTTCCTGAAATATTTCCTTTTGAAGAACGATTCATGATGCGAAATCGAAGGGCTGTTAAGGGGAATTTTTGCATGTAGTGTCGAAGAAGAATTGTCCGTTGGAAGGCAGCATCTGCGGATGATGGTGAGGATCATTCCCCAACTGAAAGATGATGGTGAAGCCCAGTTATAAGAAGCTGCACAATCCAATCTCCACTCAAAGATGAAATAAATCCACAGCAACCAACCAATCAATCAAAAATTAGCTTCAACAGAGATGAATCTCAGCACTCAATTAGGGTTGTAAACGAGCCGAACACGAGCAAAGAGTTGAACACGAGCCGTTCACGAACAAAGAATTGTTTTGACAGCCCTAATCACGTAGCCATAAGATGTTAAGAATTGACGCAATATTTAAAACATCATTTGAATCTAATTTAATATTTTTTATTATAATTTCTTCATTAATACTTTTAATTGATTACAAATCTTTGTAGCCTTGTAGTCAATTAATTTTTTTAAAAAGACTACTCATCAAATATATATATATATATAATTGATTAGTAGTATTTCAAACTAAAATGTCTCGAACACGAACGAACAAATATTAGTTCGTATTCGGCCCCGTCGAACAACAAACCGAACACGAGCTGTTCGCGAACAACGAGCCGTTTTGACAGCCCTACACTCAATCACCAAGTTAAATAACAGCAACCATTCCAAAAATCAGAAGAAGGGAATGTAGCATCTCCCAAACATCCAATAGCAGTCACATAAAATAACATTCCAACTCTAGATTCAAGCAATAAAACCTTATATGAACCAATCTGTAAATGAATAAAAGTCAAAATTAGATATATTAAAAAATAGCTAAGATCAAGAAAAGATAATTTTCCTATTAGTCAAATTGGAAATGGAGTAAGATTAATAAAAACATTAAGTCAAATCAGTACTTCATAAATGATTAAAAACCCCAATGAAATCATGGATACTTCTTTTAAACTTCCTTGTCATGCTTTTAATCTTAATCATCCAATGAATGTGATCAGTAATCAACTCAATATTAGTACTCTTATTCTTAGAAATTCTAAAATTTCTCCAAAATCCTAAATAGTAAGAAGTGGATTGCAAAGCAAGTAAATGAAATCTTTTATGAATATTGTAAGATATATATTTCTAGAATGATGAAGGGCTTGATAAATATTGAGAGGAGTAATAAAAAAATTACATTAAAAAAACAATTCTTATTAATTGTATGAGAATAAAGACATTAAGAAAGTAGATGATTATGAGTTTCAATATCATTATGAAATAAAATACAAATAGTATTAACATAAACTCCTCTTTTGTTAAGAATATCACAAACTTTTAAGTCTTTTTGAGTAAGTGAAAAGAACCAATCTAATGGAGATATCACTGAACCAAATCGACTTGTACCATTCCATAATAAGCAATCATAGAGGGAGAAATAAACAGTTTTATGAGACAACTAATATGTTATTTTAAATACAAGTGTCCTCATCTGTAGTGTTATTATTCAAAATGGAATTCTACAAAAAATCAAGGGATTCTTAAAAAAACTAACATTCTAACTATCATTCAATATATTCTAATTGTCATGCATTATGATCTCACTAGTTTTATTATTATGAGGGAAATTAAATCAGGTGAAAATAGAATCACTAAAATACTCTTTTAAGAAAAAGCCATAAAACCATGGATTAAAAAAATGAAAAGATTCTTATTAATATTAAATTAAAAAGTTAACTAAACTCATATTCTCCTTACAACATTAACAATATCTTTTTATAAAATAATAAACGAAGAAACATTGCCAAGCTAAAGAGATCAACAATGATTAAATAAATAAAGAGTTAAAATAGAATAAATATTGTAAAGATTACGGATAATGTTACTCTTACACATAACATTATTGTTATCAATTGAAGGAAGACCACGACCTCCCAAATGCTCAGGCAAAGTAACTTTATTTCATGGAAGAATGTGCACACTACCATTGTTATAATTATAATAAAAAAATAGATATCATGGAAGTTATTTTCCTTCTTAAACCTTTAGGTAAGGTAGCATAATGAAACCAATAAAATAAATAGCTTCAAATAGAACATCTAATAATTGAAACCTTCTCACAACATAAAGAAGATTTTCTTCTAACCAACAAGCAAAAAATTTAGCTTATCAACATTCATATGGAAATCATCAATAACAAGTTTAAAAGGCTTAATAACAATCCCAAGATACTCTCAAGGTAAATGTTTATTACTAAAATCACATATAGTGCAAATGTAGTTTAGAAATATCTACTTATTTAGAGAAAATAATTGTAGATTTGGTAAGATTCACATGAAGATTACTTGCTTTGCCAAATATATCAAAAATATTGGTAATATAGTTGATAAAATTAATTTAAGCTCTGCTAAAAATAAGAATGTGATCAACATATATAAGATGATTGAAATTCTTTAAATGACACATATTATGAGCACTATTGTCAATTAACATTGAAAGAGCATCCATAACAATTGTAAAATGATAAGAAGAGAGAGAGAGAGA